GATAAGGGTTACAAGAATGGTGCCTGGGATGGAGGGGTTGTCATACGAGGAGAGACAGAAATCTTTCAAATTGTTTTCTCTTGAAAAAAGAAGAGTTGGGGGGGGGGGTTGATTGAGGTGTTTAAGATTGTAAAGGGAATTGATTGTGTTAAGGAATCATCTTTTTTCATATTTTACAGTGAGAATAGTGGGACTAGGGTACACAAATATAAATTTGGGCAAGGTAGCAGTCATCTTCAGCTAAGACAGTTTCATTTTTGTAATAGGGTGGTTGGCCTTTGGAATGGGTTGCCTTTGGATGTTGTAGAGGTAGTAGATTTAAGTGAGTTTGAGAAAAAGCTTGATAAGTAGATGAATGATAAAGGCTGGCTTTAAGAATGTTTATGTATTTTTTTAGATTATTTAATTTAGTTTAGAGAATAGAACTGCCAAGATGTACCAATAAGTCTCATGTTGTCCCAAAATGTTGTATTATTATATTCTGTTTATTTACTCTATGTAGCTTTATGATATCCAGTACTGGCTATATGTAGACTTTTTGTAATCATTACACTTATCCTATCTAGACTTGCTGTTGTTGTGTTAAATGCCTTGTTCATGCTGATAGAATAAACTTACTTGACAATTTCAAGCAATGAATTAATAGGGACTTTGAGTATGGCCACAGTAGTGTCTTTTGAGTGTTTGCCTAATATCAACGTTTGAACCTGTTGTTTGGAGTCCTTTGGTTACATCACTGGGTATAGTTTTTGAAATGGTTTGAGTTAGTGACAAATGGTTATTTTCATAACAATTTTAAGTCCTCATGACTTCTTGATATGTATGTTAATGTGATATAAAGATTACATTCACATTAATCTTAAACAATTTCTAGTAAGTGTATTTTATCACTAAGATCATGCATTATTTCTAATTTTTCTGTTTCGAAATATTTTCATTTCTTGTGTTGAACAATGATGAATGAAAATATTTCTACAAATGTAGACTATTATTATGTTTATAAATGTCAGTATATATATTTCAGAATCAAATAATGATGTAGTTGAAGCTCATTTATTTTGTAATTACTTTTAACAATATTGACTATGAATTACTTATTGGTATAAACCAGAAATATGTAGATAATTAAATAAATACCTGTAAGCTAGAGTTCCTTTCAAAAATTTGATATTTATAATTTCACACAATAGGTATACATATTGTGTGAATAATAATAATAGAAAATAACCCATAATTTATTTTTTTGTGTTTGAGGCACTATTCATTTATACTGACTGGCAAAATTTAATTACTTTATTAGGTTCATGTTTTGTTGATATTTTTGTATTTGGTAATAGCTTAAAAGATATGTCTTGGTCCTTTATTTGTTGTTTAAGCATAAAATTTTGAGTGTTTATGGTGTTTCATGTAATCTTATTTACTAATTTTTTTTATCAAATGCTTTTAAACACATTACGTTTCATTTAGGTAAAAACAACAGTGTATATGATATGAATTTCTTTGTTTATGTATTTCAAATTGTTAAGGATTTTTATGCTTTAATTTCTTTTACAATCTTTGTTTCTTTCCAGAAATGAATAATTCCATTCTACTTCAACATTTCTCTATAGAAAATGCTTATACTGGTTTGACTCAGATTTCTAATATAACACTTGAGATCAGAAATGTTAATTTCTGCTTCTGTGAGTGTGGAGCCATTTTAAAACAAGGTAACCTAACCATTCATTCATCAGTTTTCTTCAATATGACTCAAAATGCTGTCTGCGTGTTAGGTGGAGATACTTTTCTGATGGAAAACTGCCAGATCAATATCAGTAAAAACTATGGCTTGCATGTTAAATCTTCCATTAATGATGTAGAAATAAGAAATTGCTCTATTGATTCGACTGAAGATTCTGCTTTTGTATTTGATGTAGCTCCAGACTATTCATTAGTGATTGAGGATAATTTGTTTCAAAACACAAAATCTAATTTTGCTCTTGACTTGGAATTGACACATAAAACATCTCTTAAAGAAATCTTGATAAGTGGTAATTTGTTCAGGAATAATTCTAAATGTATATCCATCCAGTTGTTTCATTGGTATTCCAATTCATTACACATCAGCTTAGAGGAAAACAGTTTTCAAAAAAACCATGGAAAGGCTATTTTCATAAAAACTAGAAGGAAGTTTTATGAAATTGTTATACAACGTAATAACTTTGCTCAGAATGAAGTTTTGGACCAAGCGCTTGTATCCTTCCAAATGTTATATTACAGTTATGATGTATCTAGTGTTGTCTTGGCTCAAAATGACTTTGAAGAAAACAAGGCCCAGAGTATTCTACTTCTTAATGGACATTGCACAAATAGTTTTTATTTTGATGTTTTTGGAAATCGATTCATAAATAATCAGGTACCTACTACTGGTGAAGTTATAAAATCAAAAGTTCCATGTTCTAATATTAATTTCAACATATTCAATAATCCCCAAACCTTATACTACCTCAAAGCAGAATTTACAGAAGATGACATCTTGAATGCTACATATAATTACTGGGGTACTCGAGACGAAGTGAATATTAATTCCAAAATCCTTGATAATAAGGATTCCTCATTGCTGGGTAGTGTATCAGTTGTCCCATACTTGAAAACATCTGAAGTTAGCTGTGACTTACAGAACAACTGTTCTGGACATGGAGAGTGTGTGAAAATAAATGTTTGCATCTGTGAGAGTGGCTGGAAAGGAGATGATTGCTCTAGTCCAACTTGCAATGATATTCAAGATTGTTATGGAAAGGGTACTTGCATTGGACCAAATTCATGTAGCTGTCAGAATGGGTGGTTGGGACCACATTGTCAACTTCCTTCGTGTTTTGAAAGAAATAACTGTTCGAACCATGGAGTGTGTATTGCTCCAAATGTGTAAGTTTGAAGCTCTTTGTTTTTAAACAAATTTTATTAGGCACCTTACAATAATGATAAATTTTAGTTTAAAATGAAAACAAATTTCATAATGTACATCTACCCTAAATCTGGACATGAAAAATAACCGTTTTAATTATAAAAACTAATCTGCATGTGTATGTACTTGTTTTAAAGCTGTGAAACTAAGTACAGTTGCAGAATTATATTTAAATACTGTTATTAAAGTTGAATAGTTATTGAGAAACATGCTTGGAAAATCTACCCAATAAATTAATAGTGTGTTAGCAATTTACTTACTTTTTATATTAAGCTAAGGTTATTTCATATTGTAAAAAGATAATCAGTCTATTTTGTAGATAATGATCTTATTATTATTAGATTTTCAACATTCTAAATCCATATCAACAAAAATTTTCTTAACTTTCCAGTGTTATACACCTTCACAAGTTTGCTCATAATTTGAATCCCACACCAAAAAACATGTAAAAAGGTTTGTCTCATTTAAATCTGTTCTTTTGGCAGTTGTCACTGCTCCTCTGAATTTACAGGTGAGGATTGTTCTGCTTGTACTTCTAATCGCTGGGGGTCAGACTGTCACTCTTGTCCTAGCTGTGACCATGGATTATGCAATTTGACTTCAGGTAAGTAGGATGCAGGAATATGGAACTCTCTCTTATTTTCTTTTTTTTTAGCTATTTAGTTTTAAACAGAGAGCTTGTATTAATAAATCTTCCCAAGTTTACTTAAAACATATGCACACGTAAAAGTAATTTTTTGTCAGGGTTTGTTAATAGAAAAGATCCAGAAAAATGTTGAAGAAACTATGCAAATAGCATTAGAAGATAAATATTTCATTATTTTTGTTTTCTTGGTACTGGTCATTTGTAACACCTATTATATAAACTATAAAATATATAATTCTAAAGTATCTTGTTTTACAGAAATGCTGTAAGTATAGACTTAGAAATATTTACAAAAAATACTTGATGAATAAATATGTAGTCCTTTTTTTATTTGAGTTATAAGTTAGTTTCTTCATTTCTCTGTCAGTATTGTATTATAATTTTTTAGGGCGATGTGAATGTGACTTTGGATGGACTGGAAGCGTGTGTGACTTTTGTGCTGACCGGTTCTATGGTCCTCAGTGTGATCCTTTGATGAAAGTTATAGAAGTAGCACCAGCCTCAGGACCTGATGTTGGGGGTAATCTAGTTCATGTCAAAGGTCATAATCTTTCTCCGGCTGAGTATTACACATGTGTGTAAGTATGAAAATGCCAGTTAATCAATCTTTGACCATATTTATATCAGTAATGTCAATGGATCACTTTTACTTTACATTTTGTTATCAGTTTTAATTATGAACCAAGAAAAAAGTTGTTTTTGTTTAGATTGATAATCGTTTTCTTTGATTTAGATAACCTACTGTTTAATATAAGTATGATAGATTTTATATTTGTAAGTTAAAATGTCTTGAAGAACAGGAATGGCTGTAAAAGCCTTGATTATTTATAGAAGCTTTGTTTTTGATCATTTCTCATCATAGACCCAATATAAATTCAATATATAATCATAAGAGCTGAATATGCCACTCACAGATATCTGGCTATGAAACATAACCATATATATATCCTTTTTCCCAAAACTACTGTGATGTTAAAGTCAGTTTTAATCAAACTTAGTTTTCAGTTTTCTGACAAGAAGAATTAAAATATGCATCTAGATTTGGAGAGACACCAGTCAATGGAAGTTTGAAGTCCTCAGAAGAGGTAGTCTGTGTTACTCCCAATCACCAGGAAGGAAAAGTCCTTGTTCAGATTGGACCGGAAGGCACAAACTTTACATCAGACAATGTAAATTAACAATTTCCAGTGAAAGTTTTGTTATTTATACTGTTTAGAAAATTGTAAAGATATGAATTAAAACTTCAGTAGAACTGTAAAATTATAATTCCTGTTAACCAGAAGTAGTAATTCTGAAACCAAATTAAAGCTGTCGTACACATAATGCAGGGTAAGAAAAATTCATAAAATAGGGTATGATACATTAAAGTCTCAATCCTGAATATGTCAAAAATAATTTGTAAAGTGTGGACTTAAAGTTTCAATAATGATGGTGTTGATTCAAAGTATGTCTTTGTTTTGTAATTGACAGTTTTCTCTAGGGAAAGAATGCTTTAGATTAGAGGAAACTTGTTTATCATTGAACAAAGACCTACTTAAAATTAGAAATCCTCAGCATCATCACTATTAGTGATACTGTTGGTCTGTTCCTTTTAAATAAAGTATGATAATAGATGCTGAAAGATGGTATTTAGTAGGTCTAATAATATGGTTTCCAGTCTGTAAAGTGAATAGATAACATTTCAGCTATCGTTTTTAAGTTCATATTAGTCATAAGAATACTATTTATATATATATATATATGTTTAAACATGTGTCAAACTAAAACTTTGTTTCATTTCATCAGTGATAGAGTAAGAAAGTTCCATTCTTATGGTATCAAATATGTTCTATTAGGTGGAGTATTACTTCTATGCATCCTGTCCTAAAGATTCTTGTGGCCAAAACTTTCATCCACCACGTGGACATTGTGCTTTTGGACAGTGTCAATGTGTTCTTCCTTGGAGTGGTCAGAACTGTCAGATTCTTAGACTTCCCCCCAAAATAGCTAGGATTTCAGATAAGGTTGCTGATGAGCAAACTCAGTTCTCTCTACAACTTTCCCTTACTGAGGTATAAAACTTTTAATGATGTATTTATATCATGGTCCACAGAATGTTGTATATACATGTATTTTTATTAGATACCTTCACTTAAAGAGTGATAGTAGTGTGACTTTGGGAGGGTGTCGACACATATCTTTTACTGGTGCTACATTTTGATGCAGTAACAGGGCATGTATATAAATATATTTATTGTAACAAGTAAGGAAAGATGTACACTTTCATTCAGTTTCAGAAATCTTTTTTTTAATATCAAATGACTTAGGTTCAAATTGAAGATATGAAAGTCAAAAGATCACTTTAATAGCTTAAATATCATAGGTTTCAAAATGTTGTATTTATATTATTATTTATAAGATGAGATAATTGAAGTTGTTTGAACTGAAGATATTTCTCTGCAATTTTCTTTTCCTGATAAAGAATTAAAAATATATGTTTATAAGCATTAATGTATTTTCAGTTTTACTATAATTTGGAAATTTTATTGATAGTTATATCAATACAATAGTTATGCTTTCAGTACAGAAAAATAAATTTGAATTATTCATTTAACATTTAACAAGCAGTCTTTGACTCAAAAAAGCCTAAAATTGAGGTACGTAGTTGTGTAAGGCATGAGCCAGGGATCATTTTGTCATACTATTTCCTTGATTTGAATAGTCATTAAGGTGTTTTTGTCAGACCAAAATGAATCACCTGCATGATATTTTGCCATTAATTTAGTACTCCTCCCTTCTTCTATCCTTGTAAAATTATTGCACTTCAACCAGAAAAAATATTTGTATTCTTCATTTCTTACCTGATCTTGGATTGTTTCCTCCTTCACATTATTGTGGTTCATACCATGCCAAATGATTTTTGCTCTCTTTCTCATTTGAGGGCAAGTCATTGGATACATCTGTAAGTTTACTGCTTCTGTATGCAGATGTACTTCTCTTTGGGCATGTGACAGCACCTTCTCTATCAAAGCTTTTCTGACCTCTCTTACCATTACTTTTTTAAGCAACTTCTGTGTCATTGTGATTGTATCCACACCTGTTACATGTGTAATATTTCAGACATTTTGGTACTTTATATTTGCAAGTTAGCTTAGAATATCAACAACAACAAACACTCAGAGATGCTGGCTCATTGTCTAAACAGTTTCTCACAGGTTTTATGAAATGTTTGGGAATGGTGAGTGTTCCTTAGGTAATGTACTACAACAGTGTCTTGACCATTGTCTGATTTAGGGTAAGAAATCAGACAATGGGAATGGTGAGTGTTCCTTAGGTAATGTACTACAATAGTGTCTTGACAATTGTCTGATTTAGGGTAAGAAATCAGACAAGGGAATGGTGAGTGTTGCTTAGGTAATGCACTACAACAGTGCCATAACCATTGTATGATTTAGGGTAAGAAATCACCCAATTCTACTGACAAAACCAATTATAACTTCTCTGAATGTTATCCAATTATAGATTGGTGTACACTTCTATATTCCCACAAAGTAATGCATATTCTTGTAGGTTTTCAGAAAAACAGACCAAATGCTGGATCCTACAAAGTGCCCTACCATTTCTGCTGCCATTGAATCAGAGCTTACTTGTTATGTTCAGAAATTAAATATTTATGCTTATGGTATTGAGTTGAATACCTGCTTATTCTAAAAATGTAAACTTAACTTGATTTAAATTCTTAATTTAAATTAGCATTTCAATGTGATTCAGCAACATTTTAAACAATAAGTGTGTGATATATAGAATTGTAAATTTAATATATTATACTATAGAATCGAAACTGTAAACTAACAGCACAATGTAAAATACAGGATTTTGCATTTTATACTTTAAACTAATAACATAATGTAAAATCCAGTTAGATATTTAAAGCTGTTTTTGGTGAAGAAATTGGAATAAACAATGAATATAACATTGTTTAACTTATCGTAGGAAGGTTCAATTTTAATTCATTATCAAAAGAAAAACAAATGGTAAGGTTAACTACATGTGGTTAGTTTTTTTTTAACTTCCTCCATTGTATTTTTTATAAGCATCATATTTTAGGTTTTGATCTGATTCTTGTTTATTTTATTAAAGGGTAGTACTCCAGTGACTTGGAAACTGAAAAATGGACCAAAAGGAATGAAACTTCAGTCAGAATCTGGACTTTTGTCTTGGGATGCTACTATTGCTAGAGAGAGATCTTATGAAATAACTGTTTCAGCGAGCAATGACATTTGCTCTGATACATATACTTTAAATCTCTATGTGCCTCTGTCATACACAGCAGCTCTGGATAATGTTGATCCTGGTCCATACCAACGTTCTGTTCCTATTTACCTTTCTGGAACTGTTGAATTTTCAAATTCCAGTCCTGAACAGTTTGACACTGTACCTGTCAATATCCTGTAAGATATTTATGATCAAGAGCTATCAGCTAGTTATTTAAAGTAGACAAAAATTGCTTTGACCAAAGATTTTAGAGAAAAATCTCTGAACATTTGTATGATAAATATGATCTTAGTTTTAGAGTTTAAATTCAAAAACAGTGTTATTAAATGTTGTGTGTAAATTCTGCACATTTACATGTTTAAAATTAAAGAAGAATATTAAAAAAATAATAATTTAAAAAATTGAAATATGTTTAATATATAAATAAGTGGAATATTGAGCAAATCTTTGTACTTTTTGTCTATTTTCAGAGTCCAAACCAATGGATATACTCAGACTGTGTCAACATCCACTATTCCTGGGTCAGGAGGCAAGTTTTACAAATGGTTCTACTCGTCTTCCACTTATGTTGGCCTTTTTCTTGCTGTAGGTTTCTATGATGAGTTTTTTATACCAAAGTATTTGTTAATGGCACATTTGTATAGCTTAATTCCATTGGGTGAAGTTGATTCCCTGTTTTCATTTTGGTATCTATGATATGTGATGGTAATTTAGATATGAACATTTGCTCTTCTGTGTGCAGTTTATATAGTGTATTGTAATATTCAATTAATGTTTTCTGTTTGCAGGATGCAAGGCATCCAAACAATCCAGGATTCACTGAACAGATACGATGGTCAGTTTATGGGTTACGCAGTACTCCTTCTGTAAACGTGAAAGATTACTTGGGAAACAAAACGTATATATATGAAGATATGGTTACAGTGACAAACACAGGCATAGATAAGCTAACAAATGTTACTGTTCAGGTAATTAAACAAATGACAAAACTTTCTTTGAAATAATACATAATTAATATCAACTTTCAATCAGAGCAAGTTATGTATTTAGAGTGAAAATAAAAATCAATTTGGCACTTGTTATAGCTAAATAAGCACATCTTTTGTATGTTTCTATATATATAAAGGCTAGAATGAATTGTTTTATCAATTGGGAAACTCCACTGTTAACATTATTACCTCTGCCACCAAAGGTAGATGGAGGTTGTTTTCACCCATGTGTGTTTGTCAAAAATGGCTGAATGGATTTGGATGAAAGTTGGTATACATTTGGACTATGACCCAACTTAGAAGTGATTAGTTTTTGGAAGGTCAAGGTCACAGCAAGGTCACGAAAATCCAAAAAATCCTTATGCTCTATAACTCAGTCAAAAATCATCGGATTTTGATGATTCTTAGTGGACATATGTAAAATATTATTCCTCATTGTCCTACCAAAAAAATGGTCAATGTCCATTGATAACAACAGACATACAAACAATTTTTATATATTTTTTGAGGGTGAATATGATCAACACTTTGTGGCAGAGGTATGCACTCTACTGTGTGCCCCTCTAATTTTAGTCTCTAATTTCAATAATATCTTATGAGGTTCAGCCAATTAGGAAATACATATATTAAGCTAACAATGGAAATCAATCGATATAATAAAAGTATATTAATAAAAAATAAATAAAATTAAAAAGTAAACACATTATACTCCATAGTATGGCCAGTACTCTTAAATAAAGTATCAATAACTAAATAATATAGTATACTTTACTTAGGAAACACTAGGTTAGCTTGAACTACTGTTGTAAAAGTAAATCATCTAAAAAACATTTAACAGAGCTAACAAACATTGGTATAGTTCAAGTAAATAAATTGGATGATAATATTTCGAATTTTTTTCTTAGATAATTTAATTGAAATATTATGTGTTGAAAGTCACCAAAATTGTTTGGTGCCAATGGGTTGCTTTGACATTTAATCTTTTTCCTTTGACTTTATATTGATATGTATAAATGACAACAGACTACCTGGAACTTAATGGCACATATCAATATATTGTTAACAGTTAAAGTAAATCCAGGTTAGTAAAAGTATGTTAAGTACATAACAGTAGACTTTTGTTCATTTAAGTAAATTTAGACTAGAAGAAGTATAATGGAACATATCAAAGAATCTGATAACAGATAACTAGACTGGCAGTTAACAGTAGACTGTTGACAATTACAGGAGCATGATGTGCACATAATAATAGACTGTTGACTATTAAGCAAGCATGGTGTGCACATAACAATAGACTATTCAAAGTTAAGGTAAAACAGGAGCATTATGTGCACATAATAATAGACTGTTGACAGTTAATTAATTACCCAAGTGTGGTGTGCACATAACACTAGACTACTCACAGTTAAGGTAAAACAGGAGCATTATGTGCATGTAACAGTAAACTGTTGACTGTTAAGGTAATTAGACTGGAAGGAGCATGATGTTCAGGTAACAATATAAACTTTTCTGACAGTTAAAGTAAATACAAACTGTCTGTGGTCTGACCTGTGTTTCTCAAAGAAACTTTGAAAAGCAATCACAGGCTCAGTTTAAATATCAAACTTTAGGTAAAATCATTAAGTTTTTATAAAGTTTATTAATTACATTACATGTTTTCAGTATCATCATAAATCAAACTAAACTTTCATATGATACTGTTACAATACCAATATTATTTTAGTTTAATTTGGCTAAAGATCCTTTTGTTGAATGATTTATTATTAGTGTTTTCTCCACTGACCAGTAAGTACTTTTATTGTTTATTCAGAGTTGTTTTGTTGAGATATCTATGTGTTACATTTTTCCATTTAATATGTTAGTGGAATGTTGTGAAACACCTTTAACTAAAGTAGTTGTTAACCACAGTTCTCTGCAGTCATTGTTTAGTTATTGTAAGTAGTGATGTAGGTTGTTTGGAATAAATTATTTCAGACAAAGTTTTTAAAAATAGGTTTACTAAAACAATATAAATACTAAACGTAAAATTAAACTTCAGTTTTTTGAAACGCTGTTAAAAACACAAACTAAGTTTTGAAAAATAATACAGCAGTCTTTTTTTTCAAAGTTGGTAATGATTATTACATTGTTTTATAACTTATTCATTTATCAATGGAAGCAATGTGGGTTTTAAAACTGGAGTTAGTACACTGTCTATTGATTTTTTATAGAAACAAAGAATTTCTAAAAATGCTTTTGTGTCTTGTTGCCCATTTTCTTGTAACATTTGTGATGTTTAATCAGTTGGGCAATAAATTCAGGAATAGTAAGTGTTATTGTAAATATTTTGTCAAATTGTGAATATTCCATGTTTTTCTTTGTGTGAAAAATTGCAGTTTATATGTCGATGACATTTTGAGTTCATTTGATCATGCATTTATTATTTAATATGCAGTATAAACAACTACTGTGGATGTTTTGTGTTTTTAAATTTTATTTTTATTCTTCTTCTTAGTTTGAAGCTCCAGATGTTTTTGATAATTTCTATATAGTCTTGGAAAATGGAAATCCATGCTTTTCGCCATCATGTTTTGTTATTTCATCTCTGAATGGCGGAGAAGCTGTAAATGTGACCTTTATGATAGGAGGTGAGCTAAGAATATTTTGTCACTGAATTTGAAAAAAATGTGTATTTAAAGATATACTTTAAAAAACGAAGTATAATTGTCTAACTTTATATACATTTACAAGAAAGCTGCTGTGAATATTACTTTTATTTTATTTTTTTCAGGTATAACAGAAACTCCATCATTAAAGAAAAACTATTGTTTATTATAACAAAGGAAATGTAGATTTTTAAAATAAACTTAACTCATAAATTACTATTTGTTTTTAATTGTTTTGTTGTTTTAGTGAGCATTCCAACAAGGGGGATGATACCACTAAATTTCATGACATCAGAAAATGTAGCAGCTACATCACAAATTTTCATTACATACACATCCAGGAAGCCTCAGTTGGAAGTATCTCCATCAAAGATCAGAGATAAGGTTGCTCGTAGAACATCCAGAACCTATGAGGTAAAGTAAATTATATGGGAAATTTTGGGCAACATTTTCAGGTGCCATATTGGTGGATATTTCTTCATTTTATGAATCATGAAAACTATGAAATAGATAAGATTATACACAGATTTGTGCATAGCTACTTTCAAGTTTATGTAACATTTTTTGTTTCACTTCACAGAATCAAGTTTTTTCAAGAACTCTGAATATAAGATATCCAAAGATTAAAATTTAGTTTTTATTGTTCTGAATATCATTTACTTGATCTTAGCCTTGATTAATGGATTGCATTGAGTTTTGTAATGTAGTGCACAAAGTTAAGTTTTCATTGTAAAGTATTGTTCAGAGTACATCCTTTCTAAACCAGTTATTGAACTTACTTTGTAGAGAATTTGTTTTATAGGAGCTCAGCCAACAAGTGGTTTTTTATTTGTTTGTTTTGTTCATTTTTATCCATTATAAAACTAGTTATTTATAGTAAGGAAAAACAACTTAATAAGTGTAAGTGTGATTATTTTAACAGCTGTTTAGTTGTAAAACACTTCTATAAACCTGATTTCTTAAGACTCAAAATATACTGAATGAAATTGTATTACTGCTATTTTTTAAGAATGAAATCAATGCATAAATGAACTGTTACACCTCCTTCCTTAGTTGTATGTTTCTAAACTAAATTTACTATGAGTAAAAAGTTTCATGAATGGTTAATTGTTTATGGGTAAGGGAATTAAAGATTAGTTAAGATTGATAATTGGTTTCAGATGTTTTTTTACTTTTTAACAAGCTGGTTTCATCAGCAATAATGGGAAATAATTTGACATCTACTTAATTCACATCCTAGCTGCAAGCTGATAACTGATGAACAATTCTTTCATACAAAATGCTGGTTCATCTGTATCACCAATCAGTAACACTTGACAGCAAACGTTCTTTATATGACAATAACATAGCATAATGTTTAGGGACAACAAAGGACCTCTAAACTAAATTATTGAATAGATAAATTAAAAATAAGAAATAAACTATAAATCTTAGAACCAGCCCTTATCATTCATATAGTTATCAAGCTTTCTCTTAAACTCATTTAAGTTTACTCCTTCCTCAACATCTGAAGGCAACCCATTCCAGGGGCTAAGCACCGTGTTAGAAAAATAAAACTGTTTTATCTGAAGATGACTCTTATCTTGCCAAAATTTATATTTGTGTCCCCTAGTCCTACTATTCTCGTTGTTAAGTATATATGACAGATCAACACTGTCTATTCCCTTTACAATTTTAATATGTCAATCAGATCCCCTCTAACTCTTCTTTTTTTTAATCTCTCCTCATATGACAACCCCTCCATCCTAGGCACCATTCTAGTAACCTGACAATGAAGGGTAATCTCTTAATTTTAATCTAGTGTAATTTTAAAGCTCCTAATATATTTTAGAGCTCCTTTTTACAAAACAAGAAACAAAATAAACATAGTAATCTTTAGAAGGAAGATGCATATTATAAGGTTATTGAATTTTAAGTTTTGTGATTTTTTTATTTTTCATATTTTTTCTTCTTATCATGAAATATCTCCTTTTTACTTGAGTTACCCTGTATTAGATTTAGAGGAGAAGTAATTTCTTGTTTTATTCATCCACTGTAATGTATGAATGACACTTTGTTCTTTGGTAAAAGCAGTTTTGAAAATATTGTCATTTTTACTTATGTTTTTTTTATATTGTTATTAAAGTTTTATTTTTTACATAGTGTAGCTCAGACACATGGTTAATGGGTTGTCAGACATCATTCAGCACTATTTTCTTGTATCTTCCAGGTATATGTTACTAATGTTGGACTAGCGCCAGCTACCAATGTCAAGGTTGTTCTCCCAGTAGGCTCTGTTCTGAATGTAATATCCTTTGGTACAGCCTCTCCAACCACTTCTTTAGGAGACACCAACTTTACTATAAAGTTACTGCCTAGAGAAGCTGAAGCTGTACTAGCATTAAGTCTTTTCCTTCCCGAGACTTATGAACTGGGAAAAATTGAAGGCAGTTTACAGCTGAGTTGTCAGGAAAATGTTCATGTTACAATACCATTTAGGTGTGTTTTCTCCCAGAACTGAGCTGAGCAGTTAAGATTAACATAAAATCGATGTCTCTTATTGTAATTTCTCCTATAAAAATGATGAAAATTTAAATACATTTGTATGCATTTAAATATGATCCAAGGTTTACTGTTCAAAATCTTACTTGCTGAAAATAACTGTCCTATAAAGTTAAAGTTCTTGATCCTTTTATATATATATATATAGACACACACACATTTTTAATATTAACAAATACTGTGACTTTTATCTTTGTATAATTTTATGACTATTGAAACTGGCCTGAACTATTTGCACCTAACCAGGTTAAACATTCTTTTATTTATATATTTAATATTTGCACAGACTTTATATGAATCTTCACATACATTGTCTGTGAACTGGACACAGTTTTATAAACTTAGCAAACATGATTTAATCAAATTAAAAGACTAGTTTCTTACTATATGTAAGCTGTAAATCTCTGTAGTAGATTTTGGAAAGTTTAAAGCTAGACACCTTTGTTCAATATGAAGTACCATGAATTTTCACATTCTTGGTCCTCTCTGTTGGTCACTTAACTTTGGGCATTAGTGAAATCTTATGTGAAGAAAAGTCCTTAAAATCATTACCTAATTTTATGATATTCCATTTTTATGAGTCTGATTGTGCAGTTTTTTCTTATAAACATGCTACATTATGTCTTTATATAACAAAACTATTGATCACCTGAAAATCATATAAGTAACTAAATTAATTTATCAATTTTAAAACACTTATTAGAAGTGTTTATGTCTCAAAAAAATAAACTATGCTCACATTTCATGGACATAATGGGTACCCATGTTTGTTTGTTTGTAGTTAAGCATAAAGCTACACAAAGGGTTATTTGTGTTGTGTCTACCACAAATATTGAAACCCAGGTTTTAACATTATAAGCCTTCTGACTTACTGCTGCATCACTGGGGGTAGTACCCATGTTGATATTTAACATTTGGGAATTATAAGTGAACCATAGTTTTTCAACTAGCTATAGTAGGTTTGTAATATGATTTAGAAGTGGTGGCTGGTGATTTTTTTGACATGCTATACATGACTACATTTTCAACTAACTGAAATCAACCTATGTCATGCCTTACACCTTCTTGTCTCTGCACAGCTCATTTCTCACTTCCTAGTTAGATAATCTCTAGCTTGCCTTACCATTTAAGCTCTCTATTTTGGCATGGCAATGTACCATCAAGCACACTCAGTATTCTTTATTTGAACATATTTATTGCTTCTTTATGTAGAAATATTAAGCCTTGATTGAAGCTTTAGCAGCAGTTGATTAAAGTTTTGTTATGTTCTCATAGATTATTACAATAAAACATAATTAATGATGTAAGAGAAATGTTTGATTTAAGTATTTAGGTTTAATAGGGACATGGACATGGAAATTATACATGAGGCATTGCCTCACTTGATGAACCACTACTTTGATATAAAGTGTTGCTTCTGTTTTTAAAGTACTATTGTTTTTCTGTTCAATAGACTGTTTGCACTCCATCAACCATGGGGAATCAAGTCATGGATTTTAACATTTTAAGTCCATAAACTTACTACTGACCCACTAAGAGACCTGTTGTAAATGTTAATGAAGTTTTTCTATTAATACATTTCCTTTTGCTATAAGTAAAACTATAAATAAATAATGCTTTTTAAATATACTACTTTGATATTGATTTTCTAGTATCACTGTGGTGTCTTCAAGTAAAGTTGATTTGGCTGTGTCTGTTGAGGACGAGTACACATTTTTTGCTGAAGGGAAGCCTTTAGTTAATAATTCTCGAGTAAAGATCCAGGGTCATCTCTCAGGACATCAACAGGAACTGTTTACCAATGAATCGGGTAAGCAAGTAAGCTTAAATATTATACATAAAATCAGTCATATATTCATATTCATTAACTCAGCTAACTTACAGCCTTTTTGGTGTAATTAACATGAATTACTAAAAATTTCTTCCAAGAATAAAATGCAATAAAGGTAAAATGTAATGAATGAATAAATAATTGAATAATCAAAATAGTATCATTAATGTAATATATTGCTACCTCTGACTTAAAACTTTTAATAATTTGTTTTCAGGAATTGTTATGTTTGAGGCAGTTCCAGAAGATTACTACACTATCTCAGCAGAGGCACATAAACATTCTCCTGAATCCTTAGTCCAGCTAGTTAACCCAGGAAATAACAAAGTGATTATATTTTTAAGACGCAGCACTGTAACTTACACGTAAGTATGTCAGTGTTCTAGTTAACCCGAACTCCTGGGTCCCATATGTACAAGACTTTGTCGGGACACACAAGATTTGACCCCCCTGTGTACCAAATATGTATCACAAAACACCCCATATGCCAGGCAAGCACAAGTACTTTGCTTTGAACTTTGTACCATAATAAACTGAATAGCCTACAGTTTTCACACAGCTGTCCACAATCAACTTCCAGCAGTTTTCACCACTGAGAGTAAATTGCACAAAAATAAAGCCACATGAAAATACCACATGATTAACTCTTTCACCTCGAGTAGGTTAAAGTGCACATGTCACAACCTTTCACAGAGTTACATTCAGAATTTAATTAAACTACTTAATTTCTCCTAGTATGAGAATTACAACGTTTGTTATATATGTCTTCCCTTTTCTCTCATTTTTTTACAACCCCTCTAAGAAGTACGAAGTATAAGATAAATTACTTATTATAATAATTTCCTCGCTCAGGCAAAGCATAATTTATATAGCTCTCAATCTTATTTAGTTACAGAGCAATGAAATAAAAATCAGACCCCTTTTGCCATGCCCACCTGTCAAATTCTTCTCTTTCAGAACTTGTCAATAGTTCTCTCTGACATTTAAGACTATATTATTTAAAACAAATAGAAAGCCAGAGTGTTTCTCTATCAAAAGATGTATTATATTGTCATCTGTACAAAGAATTGTCTATTTTCCTTCCAATTCAAACTTTATTCCCACAAGAAACACATCAACAAGTTTAGCCAAATTTTTAACAGCTTTTGTTGAAAAGCCAGAAAAATTGTGATAGTTTATGGAACATCGTTTCCTTTTTTTCATGTTATTATTCTCTGTTCTTTGGTGCATTATTTATTAGTAGAAATAATAGTAGTATAAAAAAGTAGGGTTAAGTTTCATCGACAATCGAGAGCAAAAAAAAGAAAACCCAGCTAAGTACTTTATTTCTTGTTTTTTCTGTGTAGTCTTTATCTATTGTTATAAAAGTAATGAAAACTTTTTAGGTTAGATATAGTAAACTAAATAATAGTAATAATTTTTTATGAGGTACGTTTGCGAATAGTTCATGCATTCTGTAAATCGATACTGTAATTGTAAATTAGGTTTTTCATTGACATTGAAGTGCTTTTTTCTTTCTTTTTTTCAAGTTTATTAAATTCTAAGTATGTGACCCTTGAAAATTACTTTGGAACCCTTGAAAATCTCACTGGGTCTCTTGAAGATAAAAAAGTTGAGAGTCCAGGGCCCTTCAGTGTGAGACCTTAGTGAGAGCCCTGTATGTTCATGTTGAATTATAATCTTTGCTGGCATATTGCTACTGTATACAAGCAGAACTTTAGAAGCAACATTCAAATAAGCTGAACTGTGATATGGTTATTGCATCAGTGTCCAACATGACACCATTCTTTTTGAAATAATGTAATTTTTAAGTAAAAGATTTCCATATTGAACTGATTCCTTTAATAATGCTAAATCTCAGATTCTTAGTCTTTGTTTTGTATTTTTATCTGAGAGAGAATTTTAACTTAATCTTACCATATATTTGTGGTTTGATTTAGCAATATTCAATAATTTGAAATGATAAAGTTGTTAATTTACAAACTGTATATTTAAGAGGTTAAAATTTATTCAGAAAAACAAATGTACATTTTGTTGATAATCTGAATGGTATTTGTAAGTGTTTGATGTATCACTTATAGAATCTGTAAAAAAAAAAAGAGATAACTTTGTGCCTTAAAAAATTTATGTTATTATTGTTTCATAGTATCATTTGAAAGTTTTATTGTACAAAATTGACCTTTACTCATATAGATAAATAAATAGTTTATGCATCCAAAGTGATGAATTATGAGGTTAAACTTATGTGGTAAACATAACTGTAGTTATAGTCTTATGCTTACTTTAACCCAGTAGAGAACTATAGTAGTATACATAGATGAAATGCAGATCAAATGCACATATGTAATTGTAATATGTATTTTGTTTCATTTATAATTCTGTGACAATGTATTTGTGGTCATGAGAATTATAGTAATTTTACGTACAGAATAGTTATTAAAAATATTTTTATTAAAATTCTAAAAAGCCATAATTTAAAATGATAGAAACAAGTTTAGGTTTTCATATGCTTTCTCTTTCTGTAACCAAAATTTTCAAATGTTTTGTTTGATAATATTCAGTCAGGAATGGCAAAAATCTAATTTATCAAGAACTTCTACAGTGACTTTTAAAAATATATTTTGCAAATTTCCTACTATACTGTTTAGACACACTCACTGTACATGCATCATTAATTAATTACATCCTTTTTAATATGTATTATGTATTGCTTAATTTCTGGTTACTTTTCTTTCATTATTAAATCATTATGCTTCTAGATTTTCAGTTCGTCCAGTCCAGATTGAAGATAAGTATGAGATAACTTTAGAAGCAGACTTTGAAACAGATGTTCCAGCTCCTGTTGTAACTGTTGAACCTAGCTCCCTAGATTTGGAGAGTCTTGAACGTGGTTATTATTCTGTCATCAATTTCCAAGTCACTAATCATGGACTTATAAGAGCTGATAATGTGACTTTTGGAATCCCTGAACCTGGTAGCCATCCATTCCTGACTTTTGACACGGTAAGATTGCTCATAATTGTCCTAATTGTGAACTTGAACATGGTAGTAACACTGTAAAATGTTTTCTGATTACATTTACGACCTTTTATGTTTATATTCTTCTCTCTTTAATAATGGTAAGTCACTACTTCAATGGAATTTATTAATTATTTTGGTATATAGTTCCTAAGCTGGTTGCAGATCAGTAATTTTGTTTACCACATGTTTTGTTAAGATTGAAGCAGAATTAATATTACAAAGTTAGTGTTATGTTGCTATACTGCCATCATTGAGTTTTGTTGAAGTAAATGTTAAATATTAAGTCACATTAACATAAAATTATAAAAACAAGTCTACCTTCCAAGGCTCTAATTTCACATAAACTACTGATCTGCTGGTCACACTTTGTCAGCATAGACATTATTTACACCATAAGAATTGATATATCATAAGTGATTGATATTAACTACATTTGACTTGACGAATGTTATCTTGGAGCACTTGGTAAGTTATGTCATTGGCAGAAGAATTACTTTGATCAATGGTTGGCAGTAACTGTTTTAGCTAGCAAAATACTGTGAGTGATGGAATCACTATAAAAATACCCACTAACAACGTGCCCAGCCAACACATTAGTGAAGGGATAACATCCTGTCAGAGCATGGAAAGTGAAGCAAACATAGGCTGTATTACTTCAAATGGAAAAAAGCTGGTTCCACTTCATGATGTCTCTGGTCTAAATCCAACTGGAAGATCACAGATTGATAAAGGAACTTGCTAGTCTACCACACATATTTGTACTTACAATGTAAGAACTTTAACATATGATGATGACCTTGAAAGATTACTGGAAGAGACTAAAGAAATGAAATGGGACATTTTGGGTCTAAGTGAAACTAAAAGAGTTGGAGAAAGTCTAGTAGAAACGAAAGGAGTATGGATATATGAGGTGGGGAAGACAGAATAAGATTCACAAGCAAAATGTGTAACCTTTGTCATCCATCCAAAAATGAAAGATATATTAGAAGCTTTCATACACAATCGAACAGAGTGATATCCTTAGATATAAATCACGACAGAAAAGAAGCAATGACAGTAATCCAAGTTTATGCCCCAACATCAGACTTCAATGATGATGATGAGATAGAGAAATTCTGTGATGATGCTGAAAAGATACTGTTGCGTCAACGAGGTCACGTGACTAGTGTCACGCCACCTGTTTTCTAGAACTATCCCATTCCTTCGGGAGTGCTCTAGCATTTACTAGATATATGTTTGTCTGGTATATATATATAAGACGCTCACAACGTGACAACAATGTGTGTGTAGGTAAGTGAGTAATTGAACTGCAGTCAGGAAGTATTGTTGAAGTT